CGAAGTTATACGACTTGTTTTAACTACCTCCACGGTGATGAAATTTGAGATCCTAAATCGAATATCCGCCAGTTCTCCCCATCCTTATTCCTTCCAGGGTTGGTTGACGTACAGTAATCTTTTGGGAGGATTAAACATCCATTTGGTCTCCATATGTCATTGTTTAAACCACATTGCATTTGGAAGTCACTATGATCTTGAGTGGAAATATAGTGCCTGGCGCATTCCGAACAAGTATCGACCAACACGCAGTGTCCCATACTCATGAATTAGTTAGCCTGAAATATGCGAAATTGTCAAATAATCTTAACAATCATGACCGCTCTACACTAGGTCTCTCAGCAGCTCCTCTTAGCTCCCTTTCAGAATAGGAAGGAAATTACTTATTTAGTAATTTCCTTCCAAGCGACTTTACCTTACTAGGTGAGTAGATAGGTTGCTTTTCCTCGACCTGAAAGACCTCCCTGGTAAGCGAACCCCAGCGATTGTCGCGACCATCACGGCGCCGCAGGCCACGTGGAACTTTGGCTTCCTTTCGATATTATCTCATACTGCCATCTCAACTTTGGGAAGGAGTTATTTTAATCTCATTCACTCAGTTGCGTTTTGTTATAGTTGCTATTATGACTCTTTTCACATTATTTACATAGCCGTTACCCTCCAGTACAAGCACCATTTTGATTTGTCGAGGAACAGCGAATTTTTCAAATGTCGCATGCTTACTTTTACCATTCAATGTCCTTTTGCTAACAACATTCCTTCACCTTTTTTTGCTTTTCTATAACGCTTGTCTTATCTTATGCGCAGGTAGCAGCGCTCTTATATCAGTTCCACGTATCGCAACGTCTTTCACGTTCTATCCAGCTTTGGCTCGCGTCCATCTGGCTCTTACATTTTTCAATTACCTTTAAAAAACCTTCAAATTGGATCTATATATGACGTGATGCCGTTTTTCAACAGTTTTCCAGTCACGGATCTAAAAGTGTCTTTATTTCACCGTTGGCTGCTACAGTCTAGTACGCTGCAGGCGAAGAGGCGTGTCAGAAGGGATGAATTTAGCGCGGTGCCAAACCTGTTCTCCAGTAGATGTTGAAGACAGCCGCTGACAAGAATGTAACATATCGTTCGTATCACTCGTTTTCTACCAACTGCTGTCGCATACCGCTTCAATAACTGACAAAAAACGGATTTGGCGCCGTGGCACACTCATACCGCCTGTCACCGCTTCGTCCACAGCGAATTGGAGTATGTGGATAGAGTGCCTTCATACTCCCTGCAAAGTCTAAACTTCGTGCGTACGGCAGCGTATTGAGCGTTTTGAGCAACTAGGAAAGTCGTATGGAATAGCGTTTCGAGCGTCCGACACCGTTTTGGGGGTTTTGGCGCCCGCGTTTTGGGTATGCGCAGCTTTTCAGCGATGATGGATATAAAACGCGGAAGCTCAAAACGATGGCGGATGCTGAAAATGCTGATCGGCACCCGTACTTATCTAGTCGCTCAAAGCGCTCGAAACACTGGCAGACGCATGAAACCCCGACGCTAAGTATGAACACTCCCTCACCAGGGCTTACGTGGGACAAGTGACTAAGTGCCTGATGGATCTGAAGCACCTTGAAATGCCATCATGCTCTCGTTTATTTTGATCCAAGATTTTTCCAGGGCTCGAGCGTGACACTTCTTTTTCGCCTCCTTTGTTCCTTCGCACGATAAAGAGCACACGATGACCCACTCATTTCTTTCAGATCCATTCCTTATTTTTAAATTGAACCGAGATACACGTGTTTTTGCCATTCGATTACCGGTGACCTCTATGAAATGTCCACAGATATATATGAAGGATTCAATTTGTGAGTGTTATCTAATTGGAAGTGATGGAACTTTAGGTCTATATTTAAAGTATTCTTATGCAGGTACATATTAGCTGAAAAATTTTACATTGAGCCTCGAGACCGAGATGGAAATCGTTTATCGGACCAATACCTCGAAATTGATCGCCACACCAATCACATACGAGTATCAGGTATGTCATGGCTTGCAGCGTTTCGCTTAATCTTGTGGAACTTATGGGCAAGCATTGAACCTCTAAAGTCTTTGGACGCCCTGCTAGAAGATAATGCCCGTCGTTTTACTATTTCTCGCTGCAGTTTACCAGATCTTGCTGAATAAAACATTGTTGAATAGTCATCCATTGATAAATGTAGGATATGCGCCGGAATAAAAAGTCGGGGAATTAAGCTTTTGCCATTCTAAGGATCTCGTTAGGTGCCTCAACCTGTTACAACTTTGAAATTTCAAAAATTCAACTGTGCAGTGCTGGTACAGTCTTGTTCACTGCGGATGAAGGGGAGTACCAGCGCAGCTACGTTTGGCGCGCCGTCAAAGGTAGCCCATTCTCCACCAGTTGCTGAATAAGGTAGGCGACAAAAATTGGTGGAAAACTTCTGATATGAACGATATGATGCAGTGTTGTCGCTTGCCGTAAGGGAAAAGCGGAAAAATTGTTGGCGCCGCGTCAAACGCGGCCGCGGGGCTATGCCCCATTATGCGCAGCGAGCAAGACTATACCTCAGTTCGACGCATCATGGAAGCTTCCATTCCATTGTTCTTTTAACATTCTTATTTGTTCACAACTGTTCATACATGAATGAGCTCTTTCAGACCTATCCACATCACGTATCCCTCTTCACGATGCGGATATACAGTACATTTATGGCGTACTTGGCGTAATTCCAATTGTTTCTGGTCAGTCTAACATTTATAACTAAAAGGGTCGTTATGTATTTTTGGCACTATTCAACTATTACTACCCCAGTTTTGCGAAAACAGGCCGGATCTTGATCGACTTTTTTCTACGGGGCGGATTTGGCTGAAAGTTGGGTTCTAGGGGTTTCGACCTCCTGAACACGAATATCACATCCACTTGGCCTGAAAGTGCCTGGCGCCCGCGCCACAGGCGCCAGTGATTTAGGGCATTTTGGCGCCGATGCCTGTAGCGCGGGCGCCGAGCGGTTTCAGGCTGAGCGGATGTGATATTCGTGTTCAGGAGGTCAAACTACCCCTGGGCACAAGTTTTCAGCGGATTTGGTGATCTAGGGTACTTTGGCGCGGGCGCCAGGCAGTTTCGGGAGGAGCGGATGTGATATTCGTGTTCAGGAGGTCGAATTACCCCTAGAACCCAACTTTCAGCCAAATCTGCCCCCGTAGAAAAAAGTCGATCAAGATCCGGCCCGTTTTCGGAAAATTGGGGTAGTAGTAATAGTTGAATAGTGCCTCATTCTTTTGCATACAACTATATATATCGACTCCTTAGGTATGGCTTTAATAGTGATTAAAAAAGCTCGCTTGGTTGGTAAGTTGAATGGGCATTCCATATGGACAATTACTGAGACCGATATTATTCCCTACAAGAAAACGACTTTACATCTGACCGAGAAACAGGTGAGCGTCATTTTTTGTCTTCTTTACAAATCTTATTGGGAAGTTGTAGATATGGTATAATCGCCATTTCACGGAAATGTTGCAAAGCGTGATGGCTACCACTGGTTTTTACTTCTCTTACTCCGTTGATCTCTCACGATCTCTTCAATGGTTGAGCGAAAACGGGAACTCCATCGTTCAAGCAGATGCCTATGATTGATCGGGTAAGCAGGTGCTGGTTATGTTGGAGTCACTTTACTGTGATGGACGCTATATAACACCACCCACGAGCTATGAAAGTTACTACAAGAATACTGATTAAGTCAAATCAAGCTCAAGTCTTGGTCCCGCGGGATTTCAACACTCACCCACGCTTTCTGGGCGAGTGCGCTGTCGAGTGCTGTAAGGTTACCGCACTGAATCCGTTAATTTGAGAGCGTAAGAGGAGCTCTGGTGTCGTAGCGGATAGCGCTGGTCCCTGAAAGTGTGAGAGGCTGTAAGTTCCGCCTGGAGTCAAGGCTTCTGCTCATAATATGGCATTCTTGTGATAGATGGTTATTTTGTTTTTTGTTACGTGGGCGAAATAAGAGGCTTGAAGATCACTCACAAATTTCCTGTGCTAGCCAGCACTTCACGTTTCTTCCACTGAATAGACCTTCCATCATGCCACTGCTTGACCCATACCTGTGAGAAAATGTAGAATTTGTTAAGGCGGATTCTCGATTTATATGGAATAGCTACCTTCTGTCCCAACTGCGCTCAGTACAAGGGGTGAGTATATGCAGAATACATTTCTTCAG